CCGCTAACATATTGTCTTTGCCTGGAATAAATGTGGCTATGAGTTTAATGTAACAGAGAATGCACCATTCCCACAACTGTACTGCTTCCCGACAGAGTTGGTGAGAGCAGATGCCACCCTGCTTGTTGATGTAGTGCATTGTTATCATGTTGTTCTTCAGTATGTGGACGGTATTGCTGTGTATTATGTGAGAGAAGTGCACATGCATGCATACTGAAATACTCTGAGCTCTAGCAAGTTGATGTGTCTGTGTTGCTTGTCCGGTGTCCACCTGACTTGGACTACCTGATCCTGTAGATGAGCCCTCCAACCTGCTAGTGAGGTGTCTGGTAATTGTGAGCACTGGAGGGGTTCCGTTGAAACAGGAGATGAAAAGGGAAATATAATATTAATCAAAAAGCAGTTATCAATTAACACTGACATTTTACATTACCTAAGTGGTATATTGTGATGAAAGAATAATTCTGCTAGTTTCACAAAATCAACTGCATGTGTCTGGACAGGATCAATAAACAGTATCTAATAGAAAAAAAAGTACATAATATAGTTACTATATAATCTCTTTAGTTTTTTTTCAGACTTCAAATACAATATAGTATAGAGATTTCAAAAGGAATTGTGTAGCATTACATACAGCTCTCTATTGTCATCTCAGAAATTCATCACAAGAAAATATTAGGAGTACATATGCAAACTACTTCAGAGTTTATGTATTTGTATTAAAAACTGAACATTTAGAGATAAACATCAACTCCATTTCACCATAATTGTGAAATTACAATTCTCTTTTTGAAATGTAGAGAGCTATATCTTTTTCATAAACTTAGACCTTGTTCTAAATATGCTGTCACTTCCTGCAATACATCTTGAAAAACAGGAGTAATGGCTAAATAAATATATAAAGCTAAACAATTTATCCCATCTAACTTTGTGTGCAAAAATTAGAAACATTTTTAATTTGAAAAAAAAAAAAACCCTTCACCTTTCTCTCTGCTGCATTTTTGTTTTCGGTTTTTATTTTTGCTGTTGTTGATTTGTTTTAGCTTGAAATGCAAAATCATCTTTACTTACAATCTTAGAAGATGAAAATGCAACTAATCCACATGAGTGGACACTTGTATCTACATGAATCAGATTACAGAACTAAAACCTTTGCTATGCAGTCCTGCAATGTAATCCAGTTTAGTGTTCATCATAATTTGCCTCCTATTTAACATACATTACCTATAACAACATTTTATAGAACTGGGCAAAAAACCCTTAAAACCTACTCTTTGATTAAACACAACGGTGCCTTTTATTAAGTTGTAAAGTTTCTACAACGTAGAGCCTTTTACTTACCAATATTTAGATATGTGTGCACATGCACTCACACAGACTCTCTTTCTATTATATATAGACACACATATGAGCGCACATATTTATTATAAACAAAATTTTTTATTTTATATACTATTATGTGCTTTAAGGTTATCGTGCATTTTTATTACCAAATTAATAATTTTGTTTTTAGCAGAATCTTTTTTCACTCCTACTTTTGAAACAAATGTAAAACTGAAAAGATGGTCAGCTACAGAGAAACTATACTTCACATCAAAATAATAAATTAAAATTAACAACTGACAGTAACTACATATTTTGAAATTTTCTTCTTAAATATTAGTTAATAACTAATTTTAAAAGGCCTACACTAGTTAACATTTATCTTCAATATTTTATGTATTAACATGGAGCAGAAATAACTTTGACAATGGAATGTACCTTTAAGACTGCACGATTAAGAACAACAAAAATCAGGGAATGTCTCACACTTCCACTATAAGACCATACTTTCAGTTGCTTATGACTTTGTTGTACTTGGTCTGAATGTTTTTATGCCAAGTATTTGTCTCATTAAGCTCAAAACCAATGTTACAAAAGTACAACCATTTCACTGAAAAGCTGTAGTACCTTTGTTGCAGAGATCTGAATTTTAATAAGGGAACAGCCATATCATCAGGGAAGTGTTTTTTCCAATCTCATGAAAATCCACCCAAATGTCAAGTTTTGAACCTCTGTAAGTCTCAATTTGCACCTACTCAGTAGACAATTCTCCAAAACTTGTGTTTACAATGAGCATGTTGAACACAAGGGGTTCATGGACTGAGGAGGACTTTGCCTGCAATTGTTTCTCCTCACAGCCACAGGGCACTGGACATAGGAACTAAGAGAAGGGAAAATGCTTGTGCATCCTTAATTCCAGGATGTCCTAACTGTTAAGTGGTTTACTTTGCAAACTTTGCATTCTTTTAATGTGATTTTTATATACAATATAATATATAAAATAGAATTTCCCAAACATGGGCACTCCCAGCAGTTAGTGTTACTTATTTCACCACAATGGAAGCAACTCAGGCTTCCCTCCATTTCTTCTCCTTTCCAAAACCACATTAGCCCTTTGAGTTCAGACTCATTTTGCTGGACTGCAGCAACTTTGCATTCTAATCCCGGTTTACTCTCCTTCTATCTGAGACAGCACAAAAATGTTTTAGAGTGTGAAAATTTCATCTCACAAATCAATGGAATTACCAATGAATTATTTTTCTCAGTAAGTGGAACCAGCTGATCTTCCTAAATTACTCTGTGCTGTACTTAAATTCCTTTTAACTCTCACTGATTATGTCTGTACAGGCTGTCCATGCTATAAGTCTAACATCTGTTCAAAAAAACTTGGATTTATAGCAAAACAATTTAAAGCGGGATTTTTTTCCCCTGCGGGTAACTTCCATTTGTGCAAATTGGAGGGGGGGGAGGAGGAGGTTGAGCAACTTAAGAGTGGGCAATGGAAGGACTTATAACACAAAGGTTCCTACAAGTATCAACTACAGGCAGTCCCTGGGTTACGTACAAGATACGGACTGTAGATTTGTTCTTAAGTTGAATCTGTATGTAAGTCGGAACTGGCGTCCAGATTCAGCCGCTGCTGAAACTGATCAGTTTCAACAGC